CTCTACTTCCCAAGGTTCGACGCCCCAACGCCGAGAACCGTATTGCTGTGTTGCTTTGTATTCCTCTGGACTTATCTCAACTCCATCGCCGGGGTATAACTTGGAGAGGTCCAATGCTAATTTTTGAGTGGTGGGTGCGGGAGGCTTTTTGAGGGGAGGCTCAGTTGGATTTTTCGGTGGATCAGCAGATGAACTAATCCGATGGTTTTTCAGAGGATCGTCGCAAAGCTCATTGCGATTTGGGGTTGGTGGCTGTGGTGATCTATCTGAAGTGGATTGCGAGACGCGTTTTAAGACTGAAATCTTCTTTTTCTTCAATCGATTAAGAGGTTCTGCTCCACGCTGAATTCCAAGATCAAAGATTTCTTCGATTGTCTTGAGATTATCTGGATGTTGATCGACTGAGCTGGCCCATTCCTCGTAGAACATGCTAAAATCGATGCCAATCTCTTTAGAGTTTAGATATTCGTATATCTTCGTTGCACCAAGTTTCGAACAATGTCTGGCATATAAAACCCATAGTTTGAGATATCTTAAATCTGATCGATATTGTTTTTCGTTGACAAACCGACGCGTCGATTGTTCGAGGATGATGATCAGATTCTTTTTCAGATTTTCTTCCTGTGGGCCATACGTGTCCAAAGTCCAACGTACGTATCTATTGAACATGTAAAAGAACAAATGGTGAGCTAGTGTGAGTGGATAGGGGCAAGGAGATTGAAATTCTTCTTACAAGAGATGTGCATCAAGAGGGTCTTCTAGTAGGTCGGCGGGAAGTAGTCGACCAGCAGCTTTTTCACCATTTGCGACTCGATCAAGTAATTCGATTGTCCGTAGGTGAGTTTGTCGTTCCTGCTCGATTTCTTCATCTGCCACTGAGAGTTGTTGTTTCGATTTGCCCTTCTCCTGAGCAGAATCTCCAGTTTTTGAGTTGGACTGGTGTTGACTGGCTGGCATGAGTGAATAGTTGAGTGTTGTGGAGGAAGTTGATGTTGAGGATGTAAAGTCTCGTTCACAGGGGGACTGCTACAATCTTGTATGTATGGACTTAAGTACATACCTGGTATGCATTTATCGTGTCCCAGTGCCGCATACATTGTACTCCAGGCTGATCTCTTTGTTTCTCGACTGCTGTTTGAAGAGGAAGAACTAACATAACATAATCCAGAACGAACAAGAATAAGAATGAGACAAGCTCCCCAACCGATACCAGTGTTTCGTCATGACTTTGTGAGTCCATCAAAACACCTATCAGAGCCTTGAACACATCAACTGAAATGCCATTCATCCATCCGTTTGGATATGTAGATAATCACCAAGAACTTCTCGAGGGAGGTCATTCGAAGTTAGGTATTGATAAAACCTCATTGATCTGGTCGACTAGTTAGGAGTCAATCGAAAAAAAAAAACCTTGACTGATTTCCTCGGATTTCGATCAACAGCCGTCATTCATGCGATCCTCTTCCATCGAGTCTTTGGTTCCGTCCAGCCGAAAGAAGTCGAAGTCTTAGGAATCACATTCGTAAGCAGGCTTTTCTTTCTTCTTCTTCTCCTTCTCCATGGTCCACCCTCCCGATTCGAAATTTCAAGAAGTCCAGAGCTCAGTGTTGATTACATAAATCTATTCGGTTTATCTCCAAACCAAAAAAAAAAAAAATTAAATGTACTTTTAACGAAAAAAGCCTCAGGTGGTCGAATCTGAAATCGAAGACCTCGTCAACCAACGCACCGAACGAGCAGTTGTGGCCTTAGAGCACAAGACTCCTTCAATATTGGTATGTTCTACATTTCATCGCCACAATTTGCTCTTAGCTTGGCTGACCAGTTTTGACTCAATCTGCACAAGTTATCGATCAGATTCCTAGAGACCCGATTGAATCCGAACAACAAGGATGACAAATCTTGGTTCAAATCTAGTTCGTCATCGCCTAGCAAGCACCATCAACAAGAAGAACAAGAAGAAAAAACAGTAGAGGAGGATGGCTTGGTTTGGGAGAAGTGGGAGATCGGCTTTAAGATCCATTCGATCCCAAACTCTTATCCTTCCTCCTCTCTTAAGAATACCGGCCACCATCTGTTATTCAATCCGATTGGCTATCTGAGTGCCAAGTCCGATAAGTCTTCCGGTCCGTCCTTCCCAGCCCAATAATCTCTCTCGGAAAATGAGAAACTTGCTCATTACCCCCTCCCCCCTGGGCAAATAGACCACTTGGAGTCTTACAGGTCTATCCAACATCAACTCAACCAATTCCTGACTCGATTAATCGATTTTGTCTTGAACGAACGGGATCATGTGCCGGCCATCACCAACTCTGATCTACTCCCATTTCCGGTTGATGTACGTGATCTTGATTTAGTAACGTTTTGATGTTGTTGTTGACATCGAGGAGAATCTGTTCTTTCCCCCCAGATTTCAATTTTACCCGCGTCGCATGGTTGATGCACTTGATATCATCTTTAACAAACTTCTCTTTACCGTCTTGTTGTTTAAGTAGAGCATAAATAAAGCAATGTAACTAATTAATACGTAGAGGAGAGGTGTGTGTTATTTGAGAGTCTATGTGCCCAGTCGTGCTTGATGAGTAATATTTTTGCAGTTCAAGTTGGGTTTATATTTGGTCGTTCCACTTGACTGTGTTTCCCAAGATGACTACTCCCAAACCACTTCGAATCGCTTTCATCCATCCTGACCTGGGCATCGGTGGCGCCGAACGCCTGGTGGTCGATGCAGCCATCGGTCTGAGCCGGCTCGGTCACTCTGTCAAGATCTATACCTCTTCCCACCAACCAGAGCGAGCGTTCATCGAGACCACCGATGGGACGATCGATGTCAAGCTACTCGGCAACAATCTCTTCCCGAGATCGATCAAGAACCGGTTCATCACCATCTGTGCCATCCTCCGCCAACTCCACCTGACCTTCAACCTGATCGTCTCCAGATTATTCTCAGACGAGGACTCGGCTGATCTCTACTTCGTCGATCAACTTTCAGCCTCGATCCCTTTACTCAGATATGCTACTCGCACCCGGGTACTATTTTACTGCCACTTCCCCGACCTACTACTCTCCCCAAGCAACATCAACAGCAACTCATTCGGAACTAAAGGCTGGATCTTGTCAAAACTGAAGTCGACCTATCGGATCCCATTGGATTGGCTAGAGGAATATACAACAGGTCCGTCCAATCATTTATCACTGCTGTCATGCTACTATCTGACTGGCTGATTATCTTCCTATTTTGTTTCGTCTTCATTGCAGCTAATGCAGATACGATCCTTGTCAATTCTCACTTTACCGCCGAGGTATTCGGTCGAACGATGACCTCGATCAAAAAGAAGCCTCAAGTCGTCTATCCTGGCGTGGATGTAAACATCTACGACTGCCCGAAACCCGATCAGCCAGACCAGAAACCTAGCGTCATTCACTCGTATGCTTCTATTCTTTCCCTTCACCTTTGCTTCTTTCTCTGATCTCTCAATTTCATCTACCTAGTAACCGGCCGACGATTCTATCGATCAACCGGTTCGAAGAAAAGAAGAATATCAACTTATTACTCCAGGCCTACATTCAGCTGAGGAAGAGTGACAGCGCTCCTGGTGCTTCAAGTTTGGTCCCTCGATTGGTCCTGGCTGGTGGATACGACGAGCGATTGATGGACAACAGGCGGACGTTGAAGGCGCTCCAGGAGAGTGTCCCAAAGGATCTGGTTCAACTGACGCTGTCGACCGAGGATGTTGGAGGGGCGGAGCGTATGCCGGACGTGCTGTTTCTACTCAACGTATCGCAGGAGCACAAGCTGGCGCTGCTACATGGCCGGTCGACCAAGTTGCTCGGCTACACGGCCTCGAACGAGCATCTCGGCATCGGCCCGCTCGAGGCTATGGCCTGTCGGCTACCCGTCTTGGCCGTCGACTCCGGTGGGCCTAAAGAGACGGTCAGTGACACCCGTACCGGCTTCCTCGTGCCCCCTGATCCGGAAAAATGGGCCCAGTCGATCCGGAACATCCTTGCTATGGACGACCAACAGCGGCGCCAGATGGGAGATGCCGGACGGGACCGAGTCCTCGAACTCTTCTCCACTGAGGTCATGGCTAAGCATTTCGAACGTGCAATCCAAGATATACTTAGCCCCGTCCGTCAGACCGATCTCTGGCTCGAACAAGGATTCTTTCATCTCCTCGCTTTCATCTTTCTCCCCTTCCTGACAATCTGGGTCGGAACTTGGAAGTTCATGTAGCAAAATCGTTGACGTCGTGCAGATGAAAACTTCGTAGCCCTGTGCTTCTCCATCTCAATTAATTTATTGCTTCCCTCTTCCTCTTAGAACCCAAAAATAATTATCGTTAGTCTAAGTACCTCAGACGCAGTTTTCCCATTTCACATTTTTAGTGATTCACAATACAGATCAGATCATGCCAACCATCTTGGAGTGGGATGAAAGAGAGAGAGAGAGATCCACCCCAGCTACTCATGTCACTGTTTCCTCACATTGAAGCTCTTGAATGCTGTATCTTTTGTCTTTTCCACAAAGGACTAATTCAATTTTTTTTGTTTCAGTGAATCCATGCAAATCCCATATTTGTATTCACAAACTTTGTTTTTTTTTCAAGTTTTGTCTTTGACATATGTCTACATAGATTGACCCAAGGCCAAGCACACATGTAAAAGCTACAATCCGTGTTAATTTTTTTGTGAATGAAGTGATGAATACTCCAAGTTCAGGTTTGGAACCAGGGGCAAAAGCTCATCCCCAATCCACCCTGAATACAAACTACACCTTGCCTTAGAGATTGTTTGTTTGTACTTGGGTATCTGATCAATTTTCTAAGAAAATAGGTACCAAGTACCTCAGCTGGCACTGCCCAGTGGGTACCACCGGCTCTTTTGGCAGGCACCAGCAGTACTTGACCTCTCTTTCTCACTTAGTTCCACTATCTCTTTCAACATTACTTCATATCCTGTACTGGATATGTGGTAGAATGAAACTGGATGTACTGCTGTTTTTTTTTTACTTCTTCACACTATTTTAACAAAAAAAAGGAAAAAATATTGCATATGCAGCTTTTTTACTGCATATCCACATCCAGTTTCATTTTACCACATATCCAGTACAGCCTACAGGATATGAAGTAATGTTGAGAGAGCTAGTGGAACTAAGTGGGAAAGAGAGGTCAAGTACTGCCAGTACCCGCAAAAAGTACCAGTGGTACCTGCTGGGCAGTGCCAGGTGCAGTACTTGGTACCTATTTTCTTAGAAAATTGAACAGGTACCCAAGTACAAACAAGCAATCTCTAATTTCACAGAAATATCATTGAAATGAATCATCAGAATAATGTTTGCACAGATGTGGCCAGATGCTTGTATTTACTGGACAGATCAGTTGTTCATTTGTGATTGCTTACTAAAGTTTCAGAAAGGTTTGGAAGACTGGGCACCAGTATCCTTGAATTGGATTTTTCCCACTCAGATAAATGTTATACAATGTTCAAGTTACTGTACAATCATATTGCGAGCAGAGTTGCAGAAATCTACCTAATTTTGATATAGTAAATCCAGACCAAAAGACCAATACAAATGTTTCACTTGTCTGAATCTACTTTCACATAGGTTTCAAGGTTGGTTCTGTATCAAAATTACATATTTGCGCAGAGGATTGTATGTAATCACCAGAGGACAATGTACAAACTCCCACATGTTGGAGGAGTAGGCACAGATGTTGTGGACTTGAATTTTCCTCACCTATTCAAATATTATGCCATGTTAAAGCCACTGTACATACAATGATATCTGAAGCAGTGCTGCTGAAAATTGTGTATTTTTCAAAATGAATCCACACCAACATCCTACAATAGAAAAAGGTCATGAAACTTGTCTGAATCACTTTTCCTTATCAAACCCAGGTGTTTACTGGTGATTCCATAAATCAATTTTAAAAATGGCTGGAAGACTAGGTACA